AAGTCCCTTTTGATTGCTTTTGGACTTCTCTCTGCTACCTCCTCAGTTCCAACCTGCATGACCAATAGTGGATGATCACCAGAGGGCTGTACCAGACCAGGGAGTTTCCTAGTGACATCCTTTCCCTAGACCCCAGGGAGGCAGCAGGCTTCCCTGTGAGCTGGGTCCGGTTGACATATTGGCCCCTCTGTTCCCCTCAGAAGGGAATCGCCTGTGACAATGACCCTCCTTTTTTTGTTAACAGAGGCAGTCAGAAAGCGTGGGGCAGGCTGCCTCACCTTGGGCACTTCCTGGATGGGCCCTCCTCTATAATTTCATCTTCATTTGCTGGACCCTCAGTTTGCAGAGCCCCATACCTGTTGTGCGAGGGCAGCTGGGCAGGTGAGGGAGGCCTGGAGGGAATTCACCTGCTGCCCTGAGCAGGGACCTGTTTCCATTCCCCTCAGTCTCTTAGGTCTCCTCCTTCAATCTCTTATAATAAAACAGTAAGTAACTCTGGAGGAGAGCAGACTACTACACTCTTAATTGATTCCTCCAGATGTTCCTATTACATGGTTAGAGCTCGGTTGCTGAATCCAAGGTAAGCACCTATTTTACCATTAGTTCTGCTCAATCTGAGGAAACATACCAAGCTTCACCTACAGTTGCATCAGGTCAAGGAGTGCCTTAAACACTAATTTACACCAGTGGGATTTTTTTCTAAGTGCAAGCATCATAAATCCTTAAGCATCTTTTTTTTTTTTTTTTAAATAGAGATATTCATGCCTCTATAAAATGAAAAACGGATGAGCAAGCTCTAATCAACACAGCTGCTTACAGGCAACTCAGTAAGACAAAAATTGCCAATTTCGGCAAGACAGAGCAAAATTCAGAAATCCCAGAACAGGAAACAACACCCATGCAAGCAGCAGTAATCAGAAGCTGGTAAAGACAATATCACATCCTAATAGCAGCACTGGAAATAGTAATTGAAATCAGAATCTATTACAGGATAAGAGAAAATCTGTATTACATTTAAGCAGGACTTCACATCTTGACCACTTTGAGGAACTAGAGCCACTTGCATTATTAACTAAATATTCATAGCATAGATTCTTTCTCATCTCAAATCACCAGAGACTTTAAAAAATAACTTCATAATCCATCAACTTCACTGGAGCTTCAACAGATGAAGCTAATGGTGGATGAAATTTCACAGAATCACAGAATGGTTTGGGTTGGAAGGGACCTTAAAGATAATCCAGTTCCAACCCCCTTGCCAGCAGCAGGGACACCTTCCACTAGACCAGGTTGCTCAAAGCCTCATCCAACCTGGCCTTAAACACTTCCAGGAAGGGGGCAGCCACAACTAGCATTTACACCTACTTATGTATGCTTTTCAACAGCCCATCTCCACTTTGCTCATGTCATCAGCCTTGAAGCATTTGTCCATTCAGCATCTCCCTTACCTTTAGGGCATGCTCCCTTCTAAATCCTTACCACCACTACCATTCCCTCCAAACAGGTCATTTCTCATGGGTGTTCTACCAGAGCAAACTAGCTTCAGCATGAGATAGATATTTTTGTTCTTGAATGAGAACCAGCAATTTGCAGATTTACAGTTGATCTCCAAACATTTTTATGTAAACTCATTTTGCAAAGACAAGGCATTACTCCTCAAAATGCTAACGATAACCCAAGCTCTTAAACACCTAACTGATCATCTTTGCAGCTTGGTTTTTATTGATGATTGGGCTCAGGATGTTCTAAGCACACACTGTCAGACTGAGACACATCACCTTCTCTGCTACTATTTGTTATCCTTGTTTAGGGAACAATCAAAGCCTGCTTGAAAACAGAATGAAACTTCACATGGACCCCTGGTCTGTACCTAAATGCCCCCCTCACTCAAGACCACAAATGTCTTACGAAAACATTGTCAATGCTACAGGGGAACTGCAAGTTCTCTGTTTAGTTGTTCATCATCTTCAGATTATTTAATGCCTGCATAGCATTGTGTTAGCCCATAACAGCATCAAGTCTCCTCAACAAATGCACAGTTCCCTGTCTATTCATCGCAAAGGGTTACAGCCCAGTACCTGTTTCTAAAGCTTAAAACTTCACCCACAAATTAATCCATCTGATGTCCCCTGAAACTAACCCCCTCCTAAAACAATAAAAGAATTCTGCCACAAAAAAATCTCAATTTTTTTTTCCCCTCCCAAAGAATGGGCATTCTGTAGCAGATGCAGTGTTATAGACAGTTACTGAGAGGGTTCACTCCCTTCTACTCACTGTTCTCCTTGTTTATACTCTGATTTCAGTTGACCAAGACCACACATCTGACACTTTTTCCTGGTCCATTTAAATTTCCAGAGTCTCTGTTCAGTTGAATGTGTCCTTTCAGGCTCCTGTCTTCATCCACATGCCAGTTCCTGGCATCATTGCATTATATCTTTAAGGCTTAGCCCCCTACAGCTGCAAATAGATTAAGTTTCTCTTTAATTTGATCAAAGTCAAAGATATAATAAGTGATTCATAACTAAGATATTAAAAATAAACTTTTCTGAGGAAGCATTTTCCTCAAAAAACACAATAGTTTTGATAAATACTCTCAGTTTAGGAAGGTGAGTGTGGTTATCTTTTCTGTTCTCTGGTAAAATAATTAGCCAGAGTTTTTTATAATCAGATTCTCCAGGCAATTCTGTTAATATAACATGGAAATAGCAAGCAAGCTGTGAGGACAGCAGGGCTGTTTCTTCCACAGCAGTGCCAGCTTTCACTGGTTTGAAGTACTCAATTACAGCCACACACTCAAAACCACATGATGTGAGCCATTGCAAGAGACAGGCTACTAGCCTGGACTGACAACTGATGATTCAATAGAACAATCTGTTGTGTTAGTTAAATCAAAGCTAATGCTCTGATAGATTGGAAAAAAACAAAAAAAACCATGGCCAAAATCTTGGTTCTGCTTAAATCAATAAAGGTTTTTCTATTCCCTGCAGCTAGGACTTCTTACAAGATTATCTGGCTCTGTGAAAACTATTGTGACAAAAATCCATAAATAATATAGTTACTATTGAGGACAGTATCAGAACTGTCTTTAGTAGTTTGGTTTACACTTAATCTAACTGTAGCCACGTATATCTGTGCTGAAATATTTACCACTTCCCTCCTACCAAGAGACTGTAAGGGGTTTTTTTCCCCTCTCTCACCTTATTCTGCAAAGTCTTTTAAATGACATCTCTCAGGATCATAGTAACAGCTGGCACTGTAACAGGACTGGAATTTAATCACTAAAAAAGCACATATAAGCTTACCTGAATCTTTAAACAAAGAGAGACTCAAAGAATGAAGTTCATAGCAGATCTTCCCAGTGGGAAACAGCACCAGCAATGCCAAAAAGGAAATTTAATGAAAACATTAATACGATACTACAACAGTTACTCACTGACATAACATTTTATGAGATAACAGAAGAAATAGACAAGATTAAACAAAAACGTAAAATACTTGGGAATTTTTGATAAATACTTGTTAAAAAAAAATCTGTCATTGAAATTAGCAGTGCAAATAAATAAGAAGCTTAAAATAAATAGTTCTTCAGTTATAGAATCTGTCAAAACACACAGTACTCATCAGCCAGATAAACTTTACACCAACTGAGGAAAATTACGATAATAAACCACTGTTAGCTCCTATTCTTCAGGGCAGAAAACTTTTAGTAAAAGACCCCTGTCTAGAAAAATGAAAGACAAGCTAAGACAGAAACTGTCTTCAAAGGAAGTCACAGTTGCAGGCAAAAATTGTTGCTGCTGTTTACAGCATTATTCAACGGTAACGCACAGACTGTCTAAACGTCTGCACGACGGTCTAAAGCAGAACTTGACCTCACTATCTTGTTTTACCCAGACACAGCTCTCCCAAGTTTTATCTAATACATAATATACTTATGTAAATAGGAGTGCTCCTAATTCCTGGCTCTCAGGACAAGTCAGGAATCCTCCCCTGCCATTGCATGTAAGTATAAAACACACAATATAAATAATATATAAGTAAATAAACAGTAGGTCACAAACCAGTATCAGAAATGCCCTACCCAATGGAAATCTGTAAACATTACAAAGGGATTAGATCACTTCCAATTTATACAGGGATAATTTAGACAAAGATTTCAGTTACAACAAAGTGTAAAGTAACAATGTAAAATAATCTTCAAATTTACTGCCAAGGGCACACCAAGGTCCCTTAGGTGAGAGGCAAGGGATGACAGGAGAGCGCACTGATATCTCATAGGCTATTAAAGGATCCAACCTAACCTCAGCTCGAGTTACAAATCACGTATTTCAAAGCCTCATTTATGGGATCAGATCACAGTGTACCATTTCAGATCACACTCCTCCCCCAGCCCCACACTTGTGAGCATCCCTTTACAATTTTGCAGTTTGACCCGCCGAGAGCAAAAATGTTTAGAATTTATATGGATTTCAACCCCATAGTTTGCTGTGAAGCACAAAAATAACAGAACAATGGTCCTCTTCTGAGACAGTAATTAATCCACTTTGAAGATGAAGGAGAGAAAGAAAAAATTGTGCATGTCTTCAGAGATATGTTTGGTCAAAAGACCATGATATTTAATTTAAAGTCTTCTGCAGAGTCCAAACAGATCCTCTGGATCTGACTCTTATATCCCTCCAGAAAACGGCAACACCACACTTTCAACCCATGAGTCACGTATCCAAGCACGACTAAGTTAAACTCAGTGTTCACTCTACAAACCACACCTCCAGCATCTGCACACTCTTGTACAGCACTTTTTCAACTTCTACAATTTTTAGCAGAACACTGGCATTTAAGTTTGTACCCAAGAATTAACCTGTAAAAACAGCACATTAATTATGCATGCATTTTTAAATTCTAATATTCTTGCTGTTAACAAAATCTGAACATGCATGCAATGTTTAAATCTTAATCTGCAGAGTCAAATCTTGGTTGGCTCTTCCATATATTTTTTTCCAAAATAAAATTGCATCACAGTCTGCATTTTTCCTGAACTCAGACATGAAGCTCCTCTGTCCTTGGAGCTGCAGAGAGCAAATCTTCCAATGTTAGAACCATGTCAGATTTCCAAGTTGTTCAAAAAAAGTGCGTGCTATCTCCATAGTTCCTATCTTCTGGCATCCAGCTGTGAATGGCCCAGCAGTGTGCCAGCATCCAGACACAGAACAAACAGAGCAAGTAATAGTTGTTTGGTTCACCTAAAGCAGAGGGCAAACAAGCCCTAAATTAGCTTAGGAAGAAAAATGTGGGTTTTTTCCTAGAAATTATACACTAATATTGTTAAGTTTTACTCCTCATCCTTATAAAATATATTACATTTTCTCAACCACGATCCCAGCATTATAATAATCATCCACAAAATATTTTTCCCCTCATTTCAGCATGCAAAGTAGAAAACTATTTTAAATGGCTTATTGAAAGTTCCATATAAAGAGAATGCTTCTTCCATTCTCAAAACCTCTGTGATGCTACTGTCCATTTCCTAATGCAGAATGCACAGTAAGCTCAGAGCTGAATAAGGCAAGGTGCCTTTTCAAATTCCTTTTTGAAGCTGGCTGGTCGCAGAACTTGACTTCAATGTTGCCATCATTGAATGCCTCCCTCCTGACTTCATCCGAGTCAATGGGATCTCTTTGAGAAACACTCGCCTTTTGCTGCCTCATAGTAATCCCCAAGTTCCCAAGTTGCCTGGTTGGTGATGCATTTTCTTTGACAATGCAGAAGCAGATAGCAGACAAAAAATTTTTCTTGAAGTTTTCATTCATGAAAGCATACACAATAGGGTTGCAAATAGAATTGAAGAATCCTATAATCTGGACAATTGCAAAGGTCATTTTGACTGTCACATCGTCATACTCCTTTTCAAAATTACCTGCAAAAGAAAAAGGAAATATGCTGTAAGCACAAAATTACTACTTAGCATGTTTATATCCAGTCTGGTATTAGAAACTCTTGTTTAAAACCAACAAAAGACCTTGCTGGAGTTTCTTAATACTAGTAATAGGGTTTTATCAGCAAGGAAAGATCAAGATCTACCACATAGCCCTACACTGGGTATATGTAAATAAGGACAGTGTCTTTCAAAAGAGGCGATTTATGAGCCAAAAAACCTGCCAATGGCCAAGCAACAGGAAGCTTCCAGTCTGCTAAGTACAGGCCTTGTTTATTCAAGTTGTTCTTCTGGCTTCAAGTTTAACATCCAGATCAAACGTGTAAGTACTTTAACACCAATCCCTGTCTTGACACTGACCACTCACGGCTCCTTTCTCTGTGCCGACACAGAACAGCTCATGGAGGTAAAAATGCCACCATCTTGGTCACATCTCTCATTTTTTAATCACTGAGATCACAGAGAAGAAACTGAATTCTTTAAATTCAAATACTCAGCACCCAAACTCTGGATAAATGCTACAAAGGTGTATAACACAAGTGAAATAAAGGCCTTGCAGCACCTGCAATAATTCCTGAAATCAGCAATGAAAAGAGAGTAAACAGTTAATGGAGTGTTATGGGGAATCTTAACATGGTACAATCCAGACATTTTTAATAGTTATGGCTTCTGCCCTTCTGATTCCACCAGGCATAAACATCACTTGGTTCAGCTGACTGGCTGCAGGACTACTGATTTATCTGCTACAACCTAATTTGTGATAGAAGACAAAGAAACAGCTACTGCCTTTGGCAAGTAGAATAGAACAACTACTGAAAACTTCCTCTTGTTCCTACACATAGCTTGCTGCACAGTCCCACGTTCTATCCCAGTACATGCTGGAGATGGGAGATGAACAGTGCATGACCCCAGAGAATAGCACTAATAGCAAAAAGCAAAGATAACAAGCACTGAGGGCATTTCCAAGCTAGTATCCCATCGAGACCACTGAAAAAATACAACTGGATGCACTGGGTGTTATCAACCTGATGTATTTGTATCTCCAATAGGCCTACCTTGTTAAAACCAGGGCACCTGAAGGGATAAATATTTCATAACATTTTAACTCAAAGCAGTATGACAGCTTAAGTGGATGCAAATAGAATTCTTCACACATTAAATTAAAATGAAATTTGAATTAAAAAGTTACTTGTTCAAGAGGTTTTCTACTTGGAAATAATGTTTACCTTCCAGTCAGGTACTTTTGACCTTTCAGCAATGAGGGTAGCATAACAAACACAGAAAGAAAAAGAATCTACAGAAATATGTTCACCATCCTAATAGTAAAATCTTGCTTTTTCTTGAGTCTTGTAAGGCCTAGCAAACCTCCTTTTCAGGACTGGATTTTATGCTGTACAAATTCAGAAGCAATGACAATCTCCTTTCTAAAGGGTTTTCATTCTAAAAGAGCTGCTGGAGAGTTGGATTCTCTCCCACCCACCCTGCAAAAAAACTCAGTAGGGTTTACACCAAGACACAAAGATTATATCTTCTATCTTTTTTTTTTTTAATGCACACAGCGGGGAAGAAGTGAAATGTCTGACACTCAAGTTTATCTCAGACATAAAGTACCTCCCAAGTACATTAAAGGTCTTTTCCAACATATATGATTCTACGATAACAGGTTTTTTTTCAAATGTGTTTATTTTCTATGAGCACTGCAGATCTATTACTCGTAGACTTCAGAGTAATTCACCAGTTGTTGGCTATGTATTTCTATTACAAGACTGATCCAGGATTTATAAAGACAACATTAACCTTTGCTAGCAGAAGGTATTCTATACCTGAATGTGGCAGCAGCACTAGCTTTTCACAAGATGTAATAAAAAAAACCAAACCCACAAAACAGAAAAGAAAGAAAGGTTTTATTGTATGACACATGGCAGATACTCACTGTATTCTATCATCATGTGAATCACATGGAAAGGGGCCCAACAGACTGCAAAGAGAAACACCACTGTCACCATCATAACAATTGCTCGCTTCTTCTTCCTGAAATTGCAGCAAGACATTCCATACTGAATCACTAAGAACTGACTGGCAGACGTGTCTCTTCAAGTTAGATCTGTAAATGTGTTCTGATGGTTGCAGATGCAAATAAAACCTTGGAAGAATGCTCAGAAGTAGACAATTCCCTTTGAAACAAAAAAGGCAACATCATATAAATCTAGTGCATCAATTAAGATCTTTTCTTTCTCTCTTTTGGGAAAGCAACACACTTTGCAGCTGCAGCAAGCAATGACATTAGCATATCTTGCAAGGCATTTTCACTCTACTCCAGCAAATGCAATTCCAATACAAAGAGATGAGGGGAAACCACATGAAATTCCATTAATATCTCAGAAAACAAGAGTCCCTTCCCAGATGTGGAAGCACTGACCATACCTGCAGCACCTGACTGCACAGGGAATTTGACAGAGTAAGTGAAACTACACCTGCAACATTCGACCTTTGCTGGTAGGCAAAGTGCTAGAATAAGAGCAAGAAACACACTCCCTGACTCCAGTGTAATATCTCACAAACTCAGGGTATACATGAATTTATATCATCCCCAAATTGATATATAATTTATAGAACCCAAGATGGATCTCTCACTTGAGCACTAGAAGCAGCACTTCACTGGTAGCAGTTACAGGATCTTCTCCCCACTGTGCGAAAATAAACTGAGGAGTAGCCTGAAGATTACACGTCACCTTAATCCTTTCAGTTGTGACTTAAGAGAGTCCGCTTTCTTAGGCACTTTGTCAGACAAATATCTAAGGAATCATTAATCTTTAATCTGCTTGTCAATTTTCTCCTTACAGTTGATACTTAAGGTGATACTCTCCTCAATAAGCAGAACTGTTAGAGGTTTCTAGCACATCAGGCAGCAGACCAATTTGCCAAATAAAAGGAAAAAACATGAGACAATATTAAGGGTAGCCCATATTTAGTGCTAAATAGCAAAGTTTATAATTATAGATTTTCATAACTTTTCAGATAGAGGATTACCACCTGGACCGTCTCACATAATCACATGTGAGAACATTCAAAACTCTTTGGAGGTTGCATTAAGTTAAACTGTACCAAAGCAGTTTCTAAATGAATTCTGATTTTTTCCCCTATGGCAATTTAACTTACAATAGGACCATAAAGCAGTGTTCATAGTCCCAGAATTATAGAAAGAACTTTCCACAGAACATACAGAAATAACGTAGTAGGCATTTTCCCCAAGTCGTCTTCTAACTCACGGCCTACATCTTTTAAAAACAAGCATTTCACAATGTACAATATGAAATTTATTGAAAGGACCTGACTTCCAAGGTGTGGCTATGCTATACTTTGAAGAAAACGATCTGTTAAGTTGCCTTAAATTAGGTATTTAAGTGGTAAATAACTAGCTAGCTTTAAAAATCCAGTCTATGCTTGTAGAGTTCCCAACGGATAAGGAAAGACAGATTTTTAATTTTTTTTGCACTGGCTTTCAAGAACTGTCAGGGGGAAAAAAGCTTTCTAGAAGTTCAAGTTCCAACTGCATTTTACTTTACAAACCTTGATATTTTAGACATTTCACTCCCATGAATGGTTTGAAGGACTGAAGCATCTCCCACTCGTTTCTTAATCCAGAGTTCATAGCCAATTTTAGTGTACAAAAAAAGCATCAACATCAGTGGAAGAAGGAAGAGTATAACAAGAATAAAGGTCGTATATATCTTCTGATAAATCGGACTGGCCCATTCTTCCAAGCAACACACGTACACTTTTTCATATAGGAAGTCATATTTAACCTGGAACAAGTGTAAAGGAGATGAGTCACTACAGTGTTTGCCCCAAGTTTAAAAAAAAAAATCAAATCAAGCACACTGAAATAATATTCCTTGCTCTTAAAATAGGAACCAAAATTCAATAGAGAGACTTTGCAAAGTGACAATATTCTTCCAAACACTTTTCCACATCAAGTGTTGGGTTGATCCAAGTTGACAAGGAGAGGTCAGGAAACGCTCTGATTTGCACTCCTCCTCTTTTTTTTTTCTTCTTTTTTTTTTTTAATGAGGATTTTCAAAGGAGATCTTGGCTACGCATTTTGCAAGTAAAGATGGGTGTATAGAAACCTCACATATTAGTCACTTTAAATAAATATTTGTTAACGTCCAGACTCACAAGCACCAGATTCTGGTAAGCTTTTTTTTTCTTCCCCCCATCCAGAAGTGTATGGTTATTCCTTAAACTCCAATAGGCAGCTAATTACATTTTAAACTAAGCACAGTTCTTCCAAATCTTGGGGAACACTACGTCATCCTGAAACAGTAATCTAAGCCCTACACTGTTGTGTGCCAAGGCATCTCTAAACCAAAAGGAAACCACAGTGGAAGTCACAGCTGTAATGACTGCTCTTTGACATAAGTGGGGAGGGAAGATATGACCAGTCCCTGCTGGAAGTCCTCCTTCCACTGCATGCAAATCCTCATCCTCATCCTTTCTCATGTTGGCACACAGAACAGAAGCTCCACTATGATTTCTTAGTTTCAATTTCATTGCTAAAGGTACAAAAAGACACAGTAAGGTGTGAGTTTAAAATGTAAATTCACCTAACATACCTCAAGCCGTTGCACATGCCACATAGGTGACCCAACAATAAGTGCCAGCAACCAAACCACACCTGTAAACAAACACATTTTTTAATACTTTGTACAACAAGCAGCATAAGTTCTGGTATGAACACTTTAACAGCTTCATCTTTAAAAAGTCAAAGGAGACAATTTAAAGAACAAAGTTTTCTATATGAGGCATACATCAGTCAGCATTCACATCGATAACAGCATTCTCTTTTGTTATCCATTTTCCTTCTCTCTAACTACCTTCATTTATTGGTATTAAAGTGTAAAAGCAACTTAATTTGCATGAGCAGCATTATGTATGTTCTCTTTGTGGTACAATGGAAGGACCATTTACAGCTGTGACATCACTTTAGCAGTGCTTATACATTTTGAACCTTTTTCTTAAAAAAAAAAAAAGAAGGAAAGGAAAGAAAAGGCTGACAGGTTTATCAGGCTTGGTTAAGTAAATCTTTGAGTTCAGATTTTAAGTTTATTGCCAGAGTTTCGCAATTATTATACATATAGGCACTATCCTTGAGCTATTTTATAAATATTACCACACTTATTAACTCTACCTCTGAATCACTGGTCATATCAGTGCCTTCTGTTCTGTCATGTGATCTACACTGAAGATTATTTCTCTATACACACAATTACTGGAAATACCTAAAATCTTACCAAGCATGGTGAAAGCTCTTTTATTGGTGTACTGCCACTTCATTTTTAGTGGATGTACAATTCCCTGGTGTCTTTCCACAGCAATGCAGGTCATTGTAAGAATCTCAGTTACAATAGCAGTGGATTGAACAAACGGTACCATCTTGCAAGCGAAGGCACCTGCAATAGTCAGAAAGTAAGGTATGCAGCTCTTGCAGTTCATGAAAAAGCTATTAACACTAGATTTCATTACTAAAGTGCTATTGTGAAAAAAAAGAACAGACCAATGTTCTTAGATTTATTTTAGCAGCTAAACTGTTATGTCACCTATTTAAGCTATTCATCAAATGCAGCTTTCAACGTTCATTCTTCCGTTGGGACACACTACATCCGCAAAACCAAGACTTCTAAGGACACATTATTCACTTGCTCTGTATCAGGGACACTTATTCCTATTTCACTTTTGACCAAGTCTTCCATCATCTGTTTTCAAATGTGCCAAGTCACAGGGATAGTTTTTATCTTTTTATCTTGGCGGATTACTCTCCAGGCCTTATGTTCAATTATCAACATAAACCTTCAGCTGCTGTCAAGAAAACACCACCTCAAACTGTAATAATTAGATTAGAAGAGGCAAGTAGTCTGTGATATCAAAAAAGCAATTAGAGATATTTGTTTTTCAAAGGTGAGAAATGGAACTAAGAAGCAGGGAAGTATGAACTCTTCTTCAAATCTATGAAGAAAAATGAGGTAAGAAAGGACGAGATCGACTTGCTTCAAATAAATCTGATTGATATACCAATTACATCAGTACTGCCTACAGGTAACTGCTGAAAACAACACTGTCATCCTGCACTTCAGTTACACTGCAACTTCCATCCAACAACTTCACAATAGTTAGTAAATTACAATAATATAATAAATTACATTAGAAAATAGTAATTGAGTAAGTTTCCCTAAGGGTAAAAATGTAATACATGTACACACTTAAAATATCCTCTTACTTAAAACAAAGTAGTCTCCTACCTTTCAAAAGGATTATAATTAACCAGTTACCTCACACTTTAATCATTAACTGACAAAATGTAATCTCTTTCTCAAAGAATAGCTATGAACTGCAGATTCCAAACAACATTAAAATTTGTATAAACCAATGTTTCTTGGCTGCTGATTTAAATTATTGATTACTAAAGCCACCTTCAGTGTCAAATGAAAGAATTTAATAGAAGCTCGATCACTCACTTTTTTTCCCCCCACAAATTCACCATCTTGTTCTGTTATTACTAATTCTTTATATTAAATCCCTACAGCCCTTAAGTCACTGAAAACAAACCAAAATCAATATTTGCCTCTTCTTTCAATGAAGAGAAGTTCAATAAAAGCAGGGAAAAAAAGCAGGCAAAATATACAGTTCCAACAAGATTTGGCAGCTACAGCCCACCTGACACATCCTTGCACTCCCAGTCAAAGTCATCCACCCTCGGAAGATCAGTCAGTCGACACGGACTACTCTGCTTCCCTATGTAATTACTGTTAATTGACCCAAATTAGATTTCTTCTCTCAGCTTTCACAATGATAGATCATCTGGTAAATAAAATATACAGAATTAAAATGTGAGAGTGCCTTCAAAACAGAAATTCCTCTCCTACTGCCTGCTTATGTGCATCTCATCCTTGAGCTAACCAGACACTTTCAGAACAAAAGGCCCTTGCCCCTAAATCAGAATTGGTTTAATTAATTAATGCAATCACTGACTTACTCTTGAAAACAACATTTAGTTTGATTCATGTGAAAAATCTGGCTAAATCCTCACTTGAACTGAAATTTAAATTCTTGAGCCTGACTCCAAAATTTGTGTGGCCATCAGCTACCTGAGGTCATTAAGGAACATTAAATGAGCCAAACTCAAATGAGCTTGGGGAGAAAGGGTGCTGCTTGCTGCTTCCCAATGCAAAACACACAGCTGGACTTATTCTTTGAGACAACTGGGGCATTTTAATACTATACTGCACAACATAGGTAACACCTATGAAATGGCTTCAAATGCAGAAATAAACACAGCTCCAGCACATTAAGCATTCTGAGACCATCCCAGCACTGAAGCCCTCTTGTGCTAAAACCAGGCATGGGCAAAACTTGAGTCTGTTCCTCAGACTTTGGTTTGCTTTTTATTTTTTGGCTGTGGTTATGCTGAATCTTTCAGAACAGATTTTTGCTTCGGTTCTTTCGCAAGCTATGAAGTAGTTTTAGGCATCTAATATGCCTAAATCAGAAATAATTCACAGACTTTCTAAAGGCTGTTTAAGATTTTTTTTTTTCTTGGAAAGACTTGCTGAAAAAGTATCTCCTTCTTTGCCTGCTCATTTTCCACTTACATCCACCCAGTACAGAAACATGTGACTTTTTTTAATATTTAAAATAGTAATACTTCACCTAGTATCTTCAATATGTATTTAAATGTTTAATTCTCTACAAGGTAAGGCTTTCAGCAAATACTTCCAACAGATTGTTAGTGAAGACAGCACTGCAGCATTTAACACTGACCATTTCCAATTAGGAAAGAAAATTATTTGTAGATTAATACTGGGAATGATAATAATTAACTGCTTCTCTTTTTCAAGAAGTGAAGAGGTTCCCAAAATTATTCCTTATGCACTGCTAAAAGCTGCATAGATTATTCAAGCAATAATTAGTTTTCCACAATGATAACACATTCAAAAGGCTGCAAATATAAAGGGTATTCCCTTAAACAAGTCTTCATGCCTTCATTATCAGGTGTTGTGCCTGTAACTATGATTTAAGGCATTTCATCACCCATTTAAGAGTTCAGTTTTTATTTTATTAAGATAACAAAATTAAATCCTGAAACCATTCTCTGGTAAAAGTGAAATTGCTCCTTCCTCTGTTAAAATGTTCTTGATGAAGCCCTTGCACTAAAACCTCTATCACAGCTTGTAAACTAGTCCTCTCCAGCTCACTGAATGCAAGTAAGATAAATTTTCTTCTATTTTGTAACTTCAGGGCAGAAAACAAGTTAATCATCATATAAATGATATCCTTGAGAAGCTTTCATACTTGGGCAATGCATTGTTTTACATTGATTCTTGGGTATAGAGGCATTTTGCATCCCTAGTAGTTTACCACCTGCCATGCACAAGTCTCACATGTCAATCTATAGAGGACAAAGAACATTATACATACGTCTGCCCAGAAAAAGGCATGAGTGTAGCACTTGATAGTAGACCTGTGGTAGTTTAAATTGTTTGTGGTCAGAGCAGCTGAGATAAAATGTCATGGCATGAGCCCATGCAATTACACTACACACCAAAAACAGTCTATAGTTTATCTACCAATGCAAGACAGAGTCTACATCATTCCTTCTATCCTGCAATTTGAAAGTGTGGATCACAAACCTCGGGCTATCTGACCAAGGTATTCCACACTGTCCACCCTCATTCCCCCTTCCCTCCAAGGCTCACATGCAGCTTCTCTGCTCAGGGGTTTAAGGAGACACTGAAATGGGCATCACAGTCTTCAGGCAAACTTGGAGCAGCAGCTTATTTCAATTGGTGCATCAAACCAAATCTAAACGTGCAAAGATGCAGGACAACTGTGCAGCAAAGCACTGCTACTAGAACACAAAATGGCAGCAGTAAACTCCTGCCTGCCATTGTGGTGCACACAACAAGCAGCACAGGTGGGGTTTTTTGGCAGGGATACAGGTTAAAGACACAGATCTCTCCTCAAGAGAAAGACTCACTAGCAGGGAACAAAACAGGACATGGCAAACACATTCCTGATTCACTTGATGCAAGGCAGAGAATGACAGGTATTTCTACCAAGAAAAAGGACATAACCACATCACATGAAACACTAACCAATCTATCCACATCCTAAAACTTGTTTTATTTCTTTGCCCGATTAACACAACAGCAAATATTTCACATCAGTCATCATGTTTAATATTTACACTAACTAATGATATGCACAACTTGAAGAAATTCCCTATGCTGAATATGTAAGCAGAATAAATTTACTTTTGTCAGCATTGTTTTGCTGCTTTTAAGCAAAACACCTTGCCAATATATTATATATTAAAAAAAAAATCTAAGCCTATTTCCTTCACTGAGGCATTCACTGTATAATCCTTTCTCAAACTATCTTCATACAGAATTTTATTCCCACCTCTACTCATAAGCAAATACCCCCAAATTCACAATAGCAGGGCATGGAGAATGAAGGATGAGGCAAGATTTCACCAATACAGATAGAACTACAAAACTACCCTGCTCTTAATGGAAGCAGATCAACCCCCCAGACATAACATCTCACACTGCAGGTGGCAAATGAAGACTTCTTGTGTCCCTGACCTGATTTACAGCAAGTCTAGACAACTTAAATTGGAAAGTTAGGAAAAAAAGCTTAAAAACAGGAGATTCAAATAACTGCATCTCTCACATCCAAATTTACTGTCTAGTATTAACCCTAAAAGCACATAAGCAGTTTAAGAGTATTTGGAAAGTCTTCAGTATCAAAGAACATTCCAGAAGCGAGTCCAAGTGAAGAAGCTTGTAACGTCTCGCTGAAGCATTTAAGAGGTACCCAAAAATATCAGACACAGAAGGCCCAGTGACTTCCATTGCTAAGATTGAGTTTTAATCTCTCAAAAAGGAATATTTAAGCATTCTCATACAGGAAACCTGTAAGTAAGGTAACACACTGCTTAACACAAGATGTTTGGTAAAGAACTGAAAGCACCCTAAATATTCAACTAGGTAGAGGATGCCACTTGATTTTCAACCAAGCCTTTAGAGAAGAGGAAATTGCAGAAGACCCACCCCTCTCCAGAGTGGCAGCTGGAGGCCAGGAAAGGTATGTGAGGGCATCTCAGATGCTGCTGTACATTCAGTATTGCCTCAGATGACTCGCTGCTAAGTGACAAGAAAAGCCACCCTCTGACACCTGCCGTGAGAATACAAATTCTAACTGAGAAAATGCAAAATTCACAAGAAAGATGTAGCATAGTGCTAGGTCTACCGTAACCTCACGTTTTGCCCTTATCTTTTGGCAGGGTTACTACATTATACAATGTTAAAAGTAATTCTCAAGTCACTCCAGGCAGTTCTGTAAAGATAACACTGTTACTCAGCTAACTAAGCAGTGTCAGAAAACATAGCAACTCTTGTAATATTTGTCCCAGAGA